GCCAGTGTGCAGATGCAGCTCGTGGACACAAAAGCAGGGTAGCCCTGGTCCCATCACCCGTGAGTACCTCAGAGCTGGGGCAAGCCTTCGATGTGTCTTGAGGTCAGATGACCTTTCTTTGTGGCCTGGTTTCATGCTTCAATTTAGGTTTAAATGTCAGGCTGTCTCCTCATTGGAAGGCCTTGAGGGGTGGGCAGTATCTGGGTAGGAGGAGGCGTCAGCCCACAGTTCTGTGACAAGGTGTCCTCTTACGTGGAAGAACGGGCACTGCCTGTGAGCAGTGAGGTAGTTTATACGTAAGTCAATGTAAGCTTTCCAGATGAAAACTAAAAAGACTTCTTAATAGAAGGATTTACCTACGAGGGTCAAAATAATTTCCATTTTTGGCTATATGGCACATGCCTTTAATCCCAGCATTTAGGAGGCAGAGGTGGGAGGATTTCTCTGAGTTTGAGGCCAGCCTTGTCTACATAGTGAGTTCTAGGACAGCCAGAGAGACTCTGTGTATAAAACAAAAACCCTAAAAAGGAATAATTTGAATTTTTTTCTTTTGGTTTTGTAGGTCAGAATTTCTGTATTTTCTCTGTCCACAGTTCTATAATATTTTTGTCTTGTGATTGGATGTCTTTTAATTATAAAAAAAGAAGTGTGGCGGCAACCTGTTCACCCCTGTGATCTCCAGCAAGACTGTGCTGCTTCAAGGAAGGCAGCGTCAGTCCGACCCACCTAGCCGTCAGTGGCGTGCATGCCTGGGACTCTGACAGAGTTCTTTGGAAGTAGCTGAATTTTCAATGTCTAACCCACATAGATCAGACCTTAGCATGGTCTTTTTGTGACTGCTAGTGCTGTTTTATAATTTTCCATTTTTAAACTTTTCATTGCGCCTCCAGCCCCTCTGCCTTATGATTTACAGGTGAGCAGAGATCTGTAGTTACCGCCATCGATCATGTTTATTCTGAAGGTGTGTGTGAGACCCACAAGCACAATAGTCCTTTTCATCTGTTGGGAACTTGAGCACATGTCTGCACGCTCCATGGTGCTGCCCAGAGGCCCCCACAGGAGGCCAGACACTGGCCTGAGGATGCTGCTGTCCTGGAGGACGCTCTTTGCAGATAATCAAAGTTGGGGCTTGGTTTGATCAGAGCAGTGACAGAAAGCCTGCATTTCAGAGGCAGTCTCGTGGCTGTAAATGTTCAATGTATTTATTTTGTGAGTAAGGACCTGTGATTGTGAACAGATGGTTATGTATCTGAGTGTTGTGGTAAAGCACATCCTGTTTCTCAGCGTCGTCGTCCTGTTAGCTCTTCACTCTTTGTGTACTGTCTCTCTGTTTTCTGTTTAAATTCTGGCCTCTGTATCAGATTTGATTTGACTTGCAGAGCCCTTGGCCTTCCAGTGTTCCACTTACTACGGAGGCCATGGCAGCTTCCAACAGCAACCTGCTGCCTGGCTGATGCACTGACAGGGAGCAGCCCTCACAGTGACTTTCTGTGGTTAGCAAGAGGCCTTTGCTCAGGTCCTGTTCTGTTCCTCTTCCCCTCTGAGTGTAGGTGGCTGGGCCCTGTGGTCCATACACTTCTCTAACTGCCTTTGAAGCTTAGCATTCGACCAGAAGGTGAGCGCTGAAGGCAGTTAGGTCCTCGTCTAGAGAAACTGTGATCATTCTACCTTCTGCCTTTGTCTGTCCCTGTCCAACACTGCTGCTGTCCTGAGAATGCTGACTGAAGAGCCAGTAGGCCAGCGCAGGCAAAGCTTAAAGATTTTCCTATATTTCCTCTGGACTTAATTTACCAGTAGGGTGGAACACTGGATGACCTGGTCCTTCAATTTTGCAATTCTTATCATTCATAGGTGTCAGTCCCAAGCACCGAGAGAATCTGTTGAGAAACATTTAATTCACTGTCTTTAATTCACCATGTGAACACTGCACTCATGAGTTTGTCATTCTGCTAGCCGGGGTGAGGTTCCTACTAGGGCCCAGCTGTGTGCAAACTCTTTCTGTATGACAGACAGGGATTTCTTGGCATCTTCAGCACTGATGGATGGGACACAGCACAGGGAGCCATTGTCCCCTCCCCCATCACTCTGCTGCTCCAAGGCCAGTCATTAATAAGCCTAAGGCTCCTGGAGCCTGTGATGGTCCTGCAGCTGCCTCAGTCGGACCTCTTCTCAGCACAGTGAGACACTGTACACAGTGCACCCGCTTGGTGCCCTGGAAGGTTCCAGTAAAGTCAAGAAAATGTACACAGTAACTAACCTTGTACATGATGGTTTTTTTGGAGGCTTAAGGATGCTGGCAAGGATGCAGGGAGGCAAACTTCCCACCTCCCTACATGGGATTGTAAACCTTGGGAACTCGTTTGTTCCCTCATAGTAACACATCTCATTTTTAAATTGGAGCTAATAGGATTTTGTACCCAGAATTTATTATATTGTTAATACTTTTCTGAAAATACACGGTAACAACTAGTAAGCAAGAGACACAGCAGGTTGCACCATGTGAATTCTGGTAGCAACAATGTGCTGGGCGCAACTTCTCCAGTGGGCCTGGGAGGTTTGTCCATTAGCTTCCCTGTGGTTAAATAGAGCTGTTGGTATAGAGCGGCTTGCCTTGATCTATCTGTTCAGTGACTTCTGCTCGGCACCGCAAGAGAAGATGGACGTATTTTTATAATATAAGCATACTTTTTTTGTACATTGTGTTCATTCTTGAATAAAGTGAGCTCACTGTTGGCTTGTAGATATTAAAAAGAAAGTATTGATTTTGATTCAATAAATGTTTTCTTTTAGTCCTGGTTTGGATTTTTCCTTCTTTTAGTGAAATTTTATTCACCAGAGCTTATAGAGAGAACTTTCTAGCGTGACTGCCTCTGCAGTGACAACCCAGGGTACAGACAACTCAAAGGGCTTATGTCTTGTTGAATAATGACAAATGTAAGCTGGGCGAGGTGGTACATTCCTGTAGCTTGAGAGGATTGTGTGTTCATGCCTCATGTGAGCTTGCAAGACTGTTCCAAAGAGAGTACAAAGTTTGTCATTGTAATCCATCCTCCCTTCCTCCCCCCTAATCTTTTTAAGACAGGTCTCACTATGTAGTTTTTGCTGGGCTTAAACTTACTGTGTAGACCAGGTTGCTTCAAACTCCTAGGCCAACTAATTCTCCTGCCTCTGAGTGATAGCAAGTTGCTTATCGTCAGCCAGAACAAGTCAGAAAACAACTGTTACCTGGACTCATGGAGTTCCATTGCCACCTTGGCCTGGACACCCTGTTGGAATGGAGTCACATTCGGCTGATGACTCCCTGTGGGACACTTGACTTCATGGCTTCGGTGGGTATGAATCTGGTGGGTAGCAAGTAGCAGGCTGGCTAAGTGCCCAGTGATATGGAGGACAGGCCCACTCCACTCACGAGAGCCCAGCAGGAGCCAAGCTGGGTTTAGAGCTGCCACTTGGAATTGTATAAATAGAAAAGTCAGATTTTTAAAGAAATATTTGTCAACAAGTTTTGATAACTTCTATGTCCAAAGACACTGGAAGAAAGTTGACTTCAAATGAAGCTCTTTTCAGTGACAAGATGGCTCAGTGGGTAAAGCTGATGTCCTGAGTGTGAGCCTGGGGATCCAGATAGGAGAGTGAATTTCTGCAAGTTGTCCTCTGACCTCCACATACACACCATTTTTTGTCAACCCTTCCCCCCACAAGTCTGATTTTTAAAAAGGAAAACCAGGACAGAATCTAATTCCAGTCCTTCACATGACCTAAAGTGATGTGTAAGAATGGTTCACAGGGCTGGAGAGATGCTTAGTGGTAAAGAGCACTGGCTGCTCTTGTGGGAGACCTAGGTTTGGTTCCTAGCACCCACATGATGGCTCACAACTGTCTACCGCTACAGTTCTGGGGGATCCAATGCTGCCTCTTCACCTCCTTGGCACCTACACTCATGCATGTAGTTACACACACACACACACAAAAGAGTAAGATTGCCAAATGAAATATTTACCATCAAAATTAGATAAATGTTGGAGAGGGATATGCTAAGGCTTGGGGAGGGGGTGCACACCTTTAATCCCAGTACCCAGGAGGCAAGAGGCAGGAGGATCTCTTGTGAGTTCAAGGTCATCCTGCTCTACATAGTGAGACCCTATATCAGAGGGTCAAGAGAGTGGCAGCATTAAGAGAAATGAAGCAATATGAATAGGAAATAAGTCAAATTATCTCTGTTGGCAAATGATCAGATCTTATAATTAAAAGATCTCAAGATTACATGTGAAAACATCTGTAAACAGCAAAGATCATTACTTCTATATATCAAGAAAAACAGTCCCACTCACAATAGCTTAAAAAAAAACAAAACAAAAACTGGGGGTGGGCGGCGGTGGCACACTCCCCCCATACTTGGGAAGCAGAGGCAGGTGGATCACTGTGAGTTCCAGGACAGCCTAGTCTACAGAGGGCGCTCCAGGACAGGCCCTAAAGCTACATAGAGAAACCCTGTCTCAATTTTTTTTTTTTTTTACTTAACAAACGGGGGTGGGGGGGCACCCAAGGAGGTAAAAGATCTCTACAGCAAAAACCTTAAAAGTAAAGAAAGGGGTTTGCTGTAGAATATTTCAAGGTGAATTGCATTCTTTTATGTTGCATATGTTTAACTCTGTGAAGCTGTGTTACTTTGCCTGTATACAACACCTGATTGGTCTAATAAAGAGCTGAATGATCAATAGCAAGGCAGCGAGAATAAATAAAAGAAAAAGAGATTGAAGAGCAAGAAAAGAAGGGGCCAGCTACCCAGCCAGACGTGGATTAAGAAGGTAAAAGCCTAGAGGCAAAAGGTAGATGGGATAATTTACATTAAGCTAGCTAGAAATAAGCCAAGCTAAGGCTGGGCATTTATAAATAAGAATAAGAGCTGGGCATTGGTGGCGCATGCCATTAATCTCAGCACTCGGGAGGCAGAGGCAGGCGGATCTCTGTGAGTTCGAGACCAGCCTGGTCTACAAGAGCTAGTTCCAGGACAGCCTCCAAAGCTACAGAGAAACCCTGTCTCGCAAAACAAAACAAAAAAGTAAGAATAAGGTCTCTGTGCATTTATTTGGGAGCTGTGTGGTAGGGAGAAGGCTTAGTGGTCAAGAGCACTTACTGCTTTTCCAGAGGACCCAGCACTCACATGGAGCAGCTCATGGGAGCCAGGCCCACCTCTGACCTCTGCAGGTATCTGCTTACACACCTAATTAAAAACAAATCTTAAAAAAAAAAAAACAAAAAAAAAAAAAACAAACCCCCGTCCCCAAAACCTAAGCCAGACATGGCAACACACAGGAGAACCGACAATTCAAGGCTGCTCTAAAACAAAAACCCAAGCTGATCCTTCCCCGTATTTTAAATTCAATCAGCATATAACTCAACAGTCTTACTTGGTTTGTAGCTAAAAGATCCTAGTGTGGTCTAGGAAGGAGGTAGACACCCTGTATGCATAGTGTTATTCCTTGTAACAGTGTTCCACACTGGGTGAGGGGGTAAATTAAACACAGCATGAACATACAATGAGAAATCAGTGTTAAGAAAGAAGGAGGCTGACTTAGTGTTCTATTACTGTGAAGAGACACCATGACGAAGGCAACTCTTATAAAGCATTCAGTTGGGGGTTTACAGTTTCACGGGCTTATTAATCCATTACCCTCGTGGCAGGGAGCAATGGTGACACACATGACAGGCGTGAAGCTGGAGCAGTAGCTGAGAGCTTTATGTCCTGATCTGCAGGCAGCAAGCGGAGGGGGGGGTGGGGGGACTGGGTTTGGCATGGGTTTTTGAAACCTCAAAGACCCTCCCCCCACCCCCACTTCTTCCAACAAGACCATACCTATTCCAATAACACCATCCTCAAAACAGCCACTGCCTAAAGACTAAGCATTCAAATCTGTAAGCCTTTTGGGGCAATTCTCATTCAAACTACCACTGAGGCCCATAGATGCTAATCCATGGGTCAACCACGAGGACAAGTGAAATAAGCACATTATAAAAAGTCAAATAGAACTTCAATTACGCAAGCAATCAAGTCACAGCTACAGGAACAACAAGGGATCAGAAAGAAGTGTTCGTTAATGGATTCAGCTCTGAGACATGGAAATGTGGAGATTGGTTAGAAAATCCAAAATTTGCAGGGCAGTGGTGGCACACACCTTTTAATCCCAGCACTTGGGAGGCAGAGGCAGGTGGATATCTGAGTTCAAGGCCAGCCTGGTATTACCAGAATTCCTTACTCATCCGAGCTGCAGCAATGCTTACAGTCCCTGCATTGTGAGGGGAGCCAAGTCTATGGGCACCAACGTAGGTGGCTCCAGTGACAGCTGAGCCTCTTCTCCTGCAGTTGCTCACATCAAATACACCTGCTTCTTGGCACCCCTCCTTCCATCACCTCTCCTGTTACCTCTCCACCTCTCCCAGCATCCCTTTTCTAACCATACATCAAACTCAAGGGCACCAGAGCTGAAACTGTGGGTGAGCACTGGATCAACATCCATAGAAACTTGGCTTTGACCTTTACCTGAGCTTGTCAAATTCAACCTTGGAATTCCATCATGTTACAGAGCCAACAAAAACTTTAATATTGTTCTCATTCATTTCGCTCTGCATTAGAGATAGAACCCAGGGGCTGGAGAGATGGCTCAGTGGTTAAAAGCACTGACTGCTCTTCCAGAGGACCTGAAATCAATTCCCAGCACCCAGATGGCAGCTCACAACTGCCTGTAATTCCAGTTCCAGGGGACCTGAAATCCTCTCACATATATGCATGCAAAACACCAGTGCACATAAAACAAACACTTTTTTTAAGTTAAAAAAAAAAAAAAGCCAGGTGTGGTGGCCCACGCCTTTAATCCCAGCACTTGGGAGGCAGAGGCAGAGGCAGGTAGATCTCTGTGAGTTTGAGGCCAGCCTAGTCTACAGAGGGAGTTCCAGGATAGCCAAAGTGGCTATCTATAGAAACCCTGTCTCAAAAAACCCAAAAAGAAACCAAACACAAAACATGCGTATGTGTGTGAGTATAAGAGAGACAGAGACACAGAGATACAGACAGAAAGACAGACACACACACACATAGAGCGTATGAACCACATACTTTGCCACTGGACTAGATCACTGGCTCCTTTCTAACATGTTCATTTTGGCACAGTTACTCCGACTTGCCTGCAGCTGGGCCACCAGGTTCTGCAGTCTATATCATTCTGTCATCATTAAGTAGCTTAGTTACTTATCTTCTTGTTGTGATCAAACACCTGACCAGAAGACACTTTAAGGGAGGGGAGGACACCCACGAACCCCACAACTCTCACATATTCACAAGTTGCTAGGAAAGATGAGGTGCTTGTGTCCTGGACCCCCACATGCTTCATGGACCACCCCAGGGACCTTCGTCACCCAAAAGCACCGGTATCTAGGGATGTTCTCAGACACAGAACTCATGGGCTCAGTTCACATTCAAGGGCGCCACAGAGCTGAGAGGAAGTTGAGCAGAGGTTCCTGCCCCTCTGCTTCCCTCTCAGGCTCCTGGTGAAGGATGGTGGGAACTTCGCCAGCCCCCTCCTCATTAGACTGGGCTAGAATGCTTGTGACCACTGGGGACCAATTTTAGCCAGCTCTGTCCAACATTCCAGCCTTCCTGGGCCCTAATAACAACACCCCAGTTTCAGCAGGAAGTAACTATAGATAAGATTATATCACCCCTTTACTGACAATATGTCTGGGATGTTGGACAAAGCCAGGAAGGTGGAGAGAAGTGTAGGGTGTGTGTTGGGGGACA